GTCTGGAAAAGAGGGTACGTGCACGCATATCAGCCTGGTTAATTAAAGGTAAAGGTAGATCAATCTCGAGTTCTATTCTCGCATACCTTTTCAATATGAATAATTGAGTCGACACTAATGAAGCATTTCAGATTGTCTACGGGACACCAGCCAATTGCTTCAAGGGCCTACGCCAACGGCTGCGTGCAACAGCCAGGGCAGTAGCTATACGGCTAGCGAGTCCAGTACTTTGTGTCCAAAATACGTTATCACAAGCACTTTTCACTTCCGGGGTCGACGCTGACGTCATGCGGTAATCACATATCGCCCCCACCCCCTAGTGACAGTCGTTCACTCCCTACAACTGAGAGTAATTATCACCCCACGTACCTGACCCTTGACCAATGCTCACAACTTATCCTAATTTCCTTCACTTCCCTCCACTTCCCCAGCACAATGACCTCTAGACGCCGATTTCATCGTGCAGGCGGCGTGAAAACGATGAGTTGTAATCAAAGAAAACTTTTTAACCCAGTCCAACTATACCATCAACCCTGCAATTGTACTAGCCTGATGATTAATTTCTGAAAACATTTGTTTGCCGAATCAACTCTTAGATTTAAATGTTTTTGCCAAGTGTGACTCAGCTTTTGATGTTTTGACACGGCCTTTAATCAGTAGCCAGAGCTGGAAATGGTTTAGGCGCACGTCACACCCTCCACTACATCAACGACTGGATCTCGGCTGGGTTAACCCATGCTTGTGATATTCCTATGAGCCGTTTGTTCGTTCTCGACCACAGTCCAAAAAATGTCATCCTTATTCTGCCTATCTATGATTTTTGGCTTGGGAAAACCGCGCTATCGACCAAACAGCGTGCTTCACTAGTAATCTGCTTCCCACACTCACCTCGTGGCCAGCTTTAAGGTCTGAATTTTGCTCAGTTTGTCTGAGGGCAGAGTGGGGATGATATGTCGGAGATCGGCAAAGGCCCGATTCAGCGACTGGGTTCTCTGTCGTTCACGGATGTTGGCCAGAAAGCGTTGCGTGAGGACATCTTCGTTAGGTGACTGGCGCCGCACGGAGCAGGGCTCCGACTGCACAACTACTGGAATTTAAAAAAGAGGAGAAAAGTAAATAATCTCAAAGAACCTCGACAAAAGATTAGAATTGGGGAAAAATGCCATTTTTTTCGTGATACTTTCTTTTGCAGCAACATGAATGACTGTAATGGCAATATTGTTAGGCATGTGCATGTATCACACTATTCTACGTTTACCTCTGATGAAGGGTTCTCGACGGAATCCGAAATGTCAGACAAATCAACTTCCTGTTCCAACGATCGCATCTACTACTTCTGAATTTTTAGGTTTTTCAGGTATCAGTCAGCCATGTTTCTGATCGCATCGGGAAGTATATGAATCGCTAGTTCAACTGGTAGCAAGTCAAATACAAATACTATATGATAAAATGGACCCGAGTTCCAAACTCAGATAGTCCTAGCCTGCGACTATCATATATCAAGTCGATGGCGGCAAATACACCAACGATAAAATTTGCAGGCGATCTTGTCCCTATCGGCAGAATTTCTTGATTCATACTTTCCCCACTCTATGCTCTACCGCCCTGAATCCGGAGCAAATTCCTTTTCGGAACTCCCCCACAAGGGCAGTAGGAGCAACACTGAATATCGGAAAAAGAAGAAGAAGAAGAAGAAGAAGAAGAAGAAGATGATGATGATGATGATGATGATGATGATGATGATGATGATGATGATGGACGATAATGATGATGATGATGATGATGATGATGATGATGATGATGATGATGATGGTTAATGATGATGATGATGATGATGATGATGATGATGATGATGATGATGATGATCGATGATGATGATGATGATGATGATGATGATGATGATGATGATGATGATGATGCCATCGCTGAGACAAGACTTTTATTCGCCCAACATCTGGAAATCCGTCGGGCTCACGTTCAACTAACGTCTCAACAGCGTCTTTCCAGGCATATAAGTTACGATTGCAGAGGAAGAAAACAACCAGCTAGTATTCCCTGATGTCCTCATCTACCGCAAAGATTTTGGTGGCCTAAATATCAAAATATTCAGTAAAGTGACAAAAACTATGCAAGTACTGAATTTTAACAGCAACCACCTGATCAGCCACAAATTCAGCTGCGTAGAGACGCTTTATCGACGTATTGAGACGCACTGCAGTGGACCAGAAGACAAAGTTGCAGAAATACAATATCTTCGACGGGGGTAAAGAGAAAATTTCGAACCACGCAACTTCGTCAACTGGTGCATGCTCAAACGAAATGGGCAACTGTTATAATTTTGGGTGTGTCTACGTCGACACTGGTTATATCCCCCAGTTGCGCGTTTGGAAAGGTAGGTAGACAGGAAAGCATAGAATAGTGTTTACTGTCACTGTTTCCTTTTTTACACCAGCTCTGTCTTCTGTGTGTCTGGCAGCTTGTTCTGTGCCCGTCAGCAGCGGTCTTCTGTCGTCGGTGTCT